ATTTCACCGCAAATTTTTGAGCTTATACTCAAGTATGTGATGATTTTATTTCCATGTTATGCTTTAATGAATTAAAATATAACATATATTCTATATAGGTACTTCTACACTAGCGTAATCGATCTCAATAAAGAAAGCGGAGACGTTATTTTGAGTTTGCTCATCGCTGCCGATGAATTAGAGATTCTCGAATTAATTAATCATGCGAAAGCTAATTTAATTACAAGAAAAACTTGGTTGCAAAAAAATCTCGTAAAGATTATGAATACCGTTTCACTTTACGAATCATTCAAGAGCTTAGGCGATTGTTGCCTTAAGATTATCACCAAAGAACCTCAAAATCTTTTCAAATCTAATGATTTTTTATCTCTGGAGGAATCAGTTCTTGTTTCTTTGCTCAAACGTAATGATCTAAAAATAGATGAAGATGAAATCTGGAATTCAGTTATCAAATGGGGAACGGGAAACACTTTGAACCTACCCAATCAGCCTGTATCAAAATGGACCTCTCAAAATTTTGCAGCTCTAGAAAAAACTCTTCATCGGTGCATCCCATTAATTCGATATAGAGATATCACAAGTGATGACTATTTTGAAAAAATAATGCCTTATCGGAAAATTATCCCGAAGGATATCGAAACAGAAATCTTGGCATATTACCTTAAAAATTTGACTCCACAACCTATCAAACTTTTACTTCCGAGATCAGGTTTCATTGACTCTAACATCATTAATTATGAACGCGCTAAGTTAATTTCATCATGGATCGATGAAGTAGATATCGATCATAACGATATGGCTCCTGAGCCGCGTTATGGTTTCAAACTTTTTTATCGTGCTAGCTGTAATGGTTTTGAAGCTAAGAAATTCCGTGAGCTTTGTGGAGCTCAAACAAGAACTTTAATAGTCGTAAAAATAAACAAATCTGGAGAAATTATTGGCGGCTATAATCCTGGCAAATGGGATCCTAGTAATTCTTCGGACTATGCTTTGGATCGTAATTTTAGTTTTTTGTTTTCCTTTGGTGGTAAAAATAGCATTATATTTCCAGGACAAGTTAATTTCAAACTTTTTTATGATAACCACTTACACATTAGCGACAATTGTAATCAAAATCTATTGAGCTGGTGTCAAAAAGATTGCTCGGGACCATATCATTTTAAAGTAGACGAATATGAAGTCTTTCATATTCAAAAAAAGTCATATTCAAATAAAAGGGCATATGAACATTAGTTGATGGTGAGTTTCTATTTTAGCTTATTTAGCCGCCGCAATAAAAGTATTTTTCTATATTTGAATTATGTCAGCCAAATAATGTTCATAATTTTATATCTATCAAAATATTGTTTTTTTCAGATCGATATCAATATCATTATATACTGTATTTTTCAAAGAATTACTGTATTTATCTCAATGAAAAAATTTTCTTTTTTGATTACATTTGAAAGAAATAGATGTACTGTAACTGTATTCTTCGATTTAAAGACCGAAACTTATTGTCATCTATTATTAACTAAGGAAAATTTGCTAAAGATTTGATTATTATTATTGATAAAAATATTATTGTGAATAAATTACTATTATAGATCCCAGGGACTTTGGGACAATTTATAGATCATTTTTACCACGATTGTTCATGAAGCGATATATTGAACACACTGATAATATAGAAATCAAAGCAAAATTACTCCGAATTTTATGAACATGTTTTAAAAGTTTTTCAAGTGAAAGAGGTTGCTTTTGTTTTCTAATATGATACAGTTTTCAAAAATACATCTACATTCATTCTGATCTTACAGTGTGGAATAACAATAAATCCAGTTACAAATAAATACACAATAATGATAGTAATAACTCAAGAAAAGGTGGCATAACTTTTGTATATTATAAATATTATCTTTGCTTGGCTCAGCATAAATAGAATGAGTTCTTATTTGATTGTATAAATATTCAAGAATAACTTGACTTAATTAAACAATTTTACTAATAATTTATCTATCAAGACTTTGCTTTACAAATATAATCAAGAATCCCCTCTAATACTAATAAAATTGACAGATATTATTCTGAAATCAAAAATTCAGATAACTCACCAACTTCTCTTATACAAATTATATTAAAACAAGAATAAAAAAAATAGTAATTATACAGATTTAGCAGAAAATCATAGTATATATTCAGATTCAAAAGAAAGTAATCAAGAAATTAAGAAAGGAAAAAATAATAATCAAAAAGCCCAAAATAATAATAATAATCTAGATAACTTGATTACAATTCTTGAAGCTCTTACTAATTAAATAGCTGACCAAAATAATCAGTTCATGAAGAAAATTATCATCTTTATTTAGAAGTATAGAGAAAATGATCAAGATCTAACTGAATAGCTAAAAAGATTTTAATATTGCTATTCAAGCAAATAAAATCACAGCTGTCAGAAAGATATAGCTTATTCAAGAATACTAGAAGATACTGCTATTTTGTGATATAATAAAAGAAATAGAAATAATAATATTTAACTAAATAATAAAAAAATAATATTTTTATAAAATAATAAATATATTTTCTAAAAATAAATATAAGTATTATCTTATTATTAGTAAATTATATATATAATTTCAATTATTTGATATTAAAAATTAAAATAATTAAATTAATTTACTTAACTTATATATATATATTTATATATAATTTATATTTATATTTGAATTATTTATAAATTCTTTATTAATTATATATATAATATGTAACAAAAAAACTGGATATTTAAATTTTTTCATAAATATTTATTTAAATAAAATAAAAATTCAAATATATTTGCTTGAGAGTATAATATAACTTTATTTAAGACTACTTAAATACTTATCTTATTAAATTTTTTATAATTTATACTTTTAAATTAAGTATTTTTAATAATAAGAAAACTTAAATAAATTATTTTAATTATTATTTTGCAAATTAATCTTAAGTAAACTTATTTACTAGATTATCAAGTATATATATTTAAAATTTTAT